TCTGTGGGTACAAGGAGAGGTCCCAGGGAGAGGTTGCTGGAAGCTCAGGTGTGTGGAGCTGCACCTCTGGGCTGGTCTTGCTAGCTGAGCTATTGGTTCAGCCCTGGGTCTTGTGGCCCCCACCCCCACCCCCCGAGCTCATTCATGTCTCTTGTTTGCTGGCTACTTGGTAATACTGCAGCAGAGAGGCTCTGGAGATCCAGAGAGTTTTCTTCACAGCTTACGTGACATTTCTTGGGCTGTGGGGTTGCCACACTACTGTGGGTTCCAGGCCACAACAAAGGTAGCAGCTTTTTCACACAAATTCCAACTTTCAGGGCCAGCTCTCCTGGGAGCTTGACATTGTCACCCTCTCCAGGTTAGGAATGGCAGAGCAACATAGAGTTAAGTGTGGCAGGGTGGTGTTGGAGGCGGCCTGCCTTTACCGACTGGGCTGCCTGCAGGTGCTCATGAGGGCCATACAAGTCAGAGCGCCAGCAGTGCTGAGCATCCAGGCTCAATAAGTGCTTCTGAAGAAGTGCTAGACGCCTAAGGATCATTCCTGGCGTCCCAGTCCAGGTAGGAGATATTTGGCAGGAAGGAGCCAGTGAACTTGGTGTTTCTGTTTCTGTTCTTTCCATGAAAAGAATATAAGGGTTCAGTCGTGAAGAAATTAAACTGTAATGGTACGAAATCTCACGGCATGTGGAAATTTCCAGCACGTGAGGGTGAAAGTCTTTTTGTTAGTAGTAAATATTCTAGCATCCCTAACTAAAGAGAACTAGGCAGAGACTCCATGTCACCATGGCAATACTGGCCAAAGACCTGCTGGGAACAGGGTTTCTGGTGTAACTGATTGACCTCAGCCACAGAAGGACATGCCCTGACTGCTAGCCGCTCCGCAGAGGCCAGCCCTCAGCACTGGTTGTCCAGTGTGGAGTCCTGGGGGATTCCACACTTCTGATTCTCTTTGTCCAAAGGAAAGCTTAAAATCCAATATATTCTAGTTTCCTTGTTCCATTGTATACAAGGACAACATGAACAAGTTTAAAAAGGCAGGAAGATGTTACAGGTTAACTGTTTGCAGTGCTTTCTCCTTCCCATGCCCATTAAATCTGTGCCACAGAACAAAGATACCAGGCACTTAATTCGTAGCCTTTCCTTACCTGGCACCGGAAAGGAGGCCTGTGTAAGAAGGGAAAGAACGTTATATGGATTGTAAAATGTAGGGAAGGAAAGAGGCAGTTGACCAAGGTGTGGCTGAAGGCTCCAAGATTCTGTGCCAGGCCGTCGGTCATTCCTCCAGCCTAGGTTCCATCTCCCAGCTTTATAGCCCAGGTGGACCCAGTGCTCTGGCTTGGGCCCCTGTGAATTCTAGGAGGCTGCTCTATATGGGTTTCACACATATAGAGTTGGGAGATTGAGTCCTGGGGTCCTGGTGAAGTTACCCAGCCTGAAAACTTGGGTTTTGGTGTTGCAAAGGGCTCCAAATTTAGTTCAAGACTTGCTTTTGTTTTGGAAGTAGTGAACTTGCCAAGGGTTCAAGTGGGTCACTTGATGATACCTCAAGCAGTTTAACGATGAAAGGCAATAGGGAGAGGAACTCCTGAGGGGCTGCTGAGGCCTAAGGAAAGGCATTGGAATGATGAGCTCGCTCGGCAGAGCCTGTCTCGTCACTGACTGAGCTCCTGGTATCTGGGACTGGGTGCTCCTTCCGGAAATCACTGTGAGCGATGCTGACGACCAGTACACATAACTCGAACTTCCTCCTGACCCCAACCAGCCCAGCACCAGCCCTGAGCAGCCCAGAATCTGCATCTCGTGCAGCGTGGAATCTGTTTAAAAAGGAATCCTGTGCTATTATTTGGGGATGGGGGAGGCAAGAGGAGCAGTAGGAAGGGGCAGAGAAAAATGAGCTCCTGAACCCACTACTGTAAATAAGCAAACACATCTCTGAAAAGAACCTTCATGGGTTTTTAAAAGCCTGTGACAGGGCTCTATCATAAAGTCTGCAAAAATTGGTACTGTGGGATTCAGAGAAATAATGTGTTTATGACTATTAAGAAACCAATTGAAACCCAGAGGTAGGAGGTTGGGGTCTGTTCTTAGCTGGAGAGGTTTTAAGAGGTGTCATTAGAGGTGAGTGCTGAGAGCAGCATCACTGAGGCAGGTGGGCACATAGTAATCTGTTCAGGCTTGCCAACAGTGTTTTTGGAAAGACTGCCTAACCTTTGGGAATAGCTGCAGAGAGTTCCTACTGTCTGTGATGTACTTAAGGGAAACAGCTCACACTCTTAGAAGGTATACTGCCGCAACCCAGAAGAAAGCCCAAGAAGCCACTAACAATTAAAAACAGCCTCCCCCACCCCACCTCATTGCTGCTGTGGCCAGAGGACAGCACCTCCTTGGGCAAAAGCAGGACAGTGGGCCCACACACTAGGCTCTCCCTTCTGTTGCCATTTGCAACAGAATGTGTAGTTTCCAGCTCTTTTTTGTCCAGAAAGATAAAACTTCAGCAGTTGTTTAGAGGGTGCATGCCTGGTCATGGGATGCAAGAATCTGTGAGCTGGACCATAGAGCTTAGACTGGCATTAAGGAAAGAAAACTGGTTACTTGTTTTTGTGTAGACAACAGAAGCGTGTTGTGAGTGGCCAATGGTAATTTCCACCAAATACTAGAACCTACCACTTGAAGCCAGCAAGAACTGAAGAGTAAAGAAAGTCTATGAGGAAGCTCATGGGAGCCAGTGTGGGCAGGCGGAGGAGGATTTGGGGCCCGGCAAGGTCAGGCCCACACTGCAGTGCAGGCAGAGAGCTGTCTGCAGGGACTCTCCCGGCGTGGTCCCAGGAGCAGCTCAGGTCCACTCAGGAGGGTCTGCCTTGCAGGGGAGCCAGTTACCATGTGTGCAGTGACCAGAGCACACTGGGCACCTGCTGTGGCTTCACTCTTGGAGGCATATGCTGTAGAACTGACTTACAGAAAGTGTTAGAGAACGTGTTCAGTCTGAGGGTGTTCGTTTGTCTGTTTACATCCTGAGTGGTGACGCGTGCCCACTCCTCCGAGCAGATCACTGCAAAGTCATTAATTGCACTTGATTTAGCTTCTTTCTGTAGCCAAAAGAGAAGTTTAGGTCAGGAACTAGCTCCTAGGCTGCTGCTGAGACCCTTGTTCCCAGGCAGTTCCTTTCCCTATCCGCAACTCCCTCATGTGCCCAGGGAAGCTGTTTCCACACCATCCTGCCACCTGTGCATGCTCACTTAAAAGATTGTTGGCAGATGCAAAGGAAACCTGAGCCCCAGCTGCTTTTGGTGTTCATTTAAATGAGTTCATGAGGGCCGAGGAGCTTTGTGCCGCTGCCCAGTGCCGCCACACTAGCCACCCTTTGGGATAAGCTGGCTGGTTTAGTCATTCGAATAGGTTTTTTGGAGAAGAACTTAGGAGCTCAAGGACCCCAAAACACCCTTCCCCCACCCATCGTCCCCTCCCCACCTGGTGCAGCGTTTGGGCAGGAGGGTGCACCCAGGCTCTGTGCAGCACATACTCTGGCTGATCAGAGGCAGCCAAGCATTTTGCACTAGGAAGAATCAGTGATCGATCTTCAGAAGACTTCTATGGACCAGTTACATTACGGAGGAACAGATTTTGCTAAGACGTAATCTAGTTTTATAACTCAATCATGGATGAACCATATGAGGTTAACTTGCAGTTTAAAGGGGTCCCATGAATGAAAATAATCTGATTTTTTTTTTAACTGACTGCTTTTAGTTAAATGCAAGAAAGTCCCCTCATCAAAAGGTTTAAACTTTCCCACCTTGATCTTGAAAGCATGTCAAAACAATCCATATCAGATGCCATAAACATGAACTGCAAGAGAACATGGTACAATCTCAGTGAATGGGAATTGGAATCAAAAGGGTTTGCTGTCCTTCTTAGAATGTTCTAAAATGTCAAGGCAGTTGCTTGTGTTTAACTGTGAACAAATAAAAATTTATTGTTTTGCACTACTCTGCTGTGTGACATGGAGTGACTTACACTGGCCTTGGGCTTAAAAAGTAGGGAACTCTTCAAAGATGCAGAAGTGGAGTGGTTACTGTGGGTGGCTACAGGAGGGCACCCAAATATTGGTCTGGCTTTAGGCTTTAGTCTCTGTTAAGCACTTTTGTGTTCTGGAAGATTGTCTTCACTGATAACTTACCTGCCTTAAATCTTTGGTCTTTCCCAAAGAGTGGCATGGTGTGCGTGTGTCAAGGGTTTGAGTCATGTCTACCGGAGAAGCCGAGAGCCAGGGGCTGCCAGTCCACACTCCTGCTGTGTCTGGAGGGGTGGCCAGTTGAGTTTCATGGGATCCTTTTGGTGGAACCTGGTGGACATGCATTTTGTGGCGATTTCGCCAGCCCTGATCCCTGCCAGCTGTGTGCACATGTGCCAGGAGAAGGTGCACAGCTGTCACCAGCTGGTTCATGCCCATTGGGCATTCTGCAGAAGGTAGGAAACCACCCTATGAGATTTTAAGATCTGCCCTGGCTTCTGATAGAATGGCCTGTGATGCTGAGGAAAGGACCCTTATGGCAAGTTGTGGCGCAGTGGTTTTCAGGTGCTCGCCCGGCGGTCCAGACGTCAGAACTGCTGCCCATGGCAGAAGCAGCACCTTCAGGATGGACTTGAAGGTGGCGGTTGTTAATTTGTCTGGAATTCAGGTTTTCTTGCCTGAGGAAGTCTTTCACTAGACAAGGTGCAGGTCTGTGGACTGGCCCTCTGTTACCTGGTGTGGACCTCAGAGTCAGGCCCTTTCTAGAGGCAGGGTCCCCTTGGTGGCAGCAGTTTCTCTGCTGTCTGGGAGGGGCTTTGCCTGTGTGGTTACCTCCCAGTATCTTTTGATGTCTTGGGAGAAACGCAGGTTTTCTTTCAGGGAGAAGTTCCAGGAAACCAAACCAGCCAGGCAGAGGTGGTAGAACATTTTTTATTCTTGACTGTCTCCCCCCGAGGAAGCAACAATACAGAAGCTAAGTCGTCCCCTGCGAAGGGAAAAAGTAACAATCAGAGCTCAAAGCAGACACATCACACAGTGTGTGGGCCTCGACTATGCTGTGGACATCAGGCCATGGTCCTTGATCAGGAACCACAGACAGAATTCTTCTGGAGAGGTGGGCTCACTGCCTTTGTTTTGGTCCAGGGAACTGAACCCTGAGGCGTTCCTTCAGCATTTGCCCCTCCCTCCATCCTGGGAGTGGGAGCATCCCTGTCCTGCAGAGAGTCTGTGCCTGCTTCCTGTGGCTGCTGGGGCAGGGAGCTGGATAGCTGCTGGATGTGGCTCAGTGCCCTCACCTGGGACACCCTCTAGCAACACCGTACTATTTGGGCAACTCATTAAGCGGGGATCCTCTTCACCAGCACAGAGCTTAGAAGCAGGAAAGTTACAAGTGAAAGCAAGAGAAGGAGAGATTCTCAATGATGTATTGGCCCTTTTGGGGTTAACGGCAGGGGTGCCGGCACCAGCAGGAATGGATCCACAGGGGAGTCCACACTGGTTAGCAGAGCACCCAGCTGTGGAGCAGGCCCCTGGCCTTGAGTTACAGTTTCCCACCGGGCGGCCTCCAGGGAGGCTTGGAATGTCCTTTGTCTCGCCCCCTGGGTTTGAGGCGATCTTTTTCCAGCTGCCTACATTTGTGCTTTCTTAACCAGCACTGGGTGCCTGTGGTCCGGGCAGGACAAGCGGCTGCCCTGGTGACATTCTGACATGCTGCGGGCTCACTCACGTGCTGCAGCGCTTTGCGGGGCAGCTTCTCCGAGTGGGCGATCCACTCTTTCATAAGGTCCAGGACAATGGGGATGAGGCTGACGACACCGCCATAGTGGTTCCTGGCCTCGTCACAGCTGAGGTGGTTCACTACATCGTGAGGGTACCTGCAGGCCAGGAGAGGAGGGAGAATGGTGAGCCTTGCTGTGGGGACTGGCTGGCAGCTTCCAGGCCTGGTGCTAAGGCTGTGTCCCCACCAGGTCCAGCTCAGCAGGTCAAGGCCGGGAGCCCCAGGTGCTTCTGCTATGAAAGTCAGGAGCTGAGAACCACTGCCCTGTGGTGTCAGGAAAAACACGATGCCTGGGTGCCCTGCTGTGTCTAGTCCTGGTTTTAAATAGGTCTTCATTGATAGTCATCCCACGAAGGAAGTGTGCACAGCTACAGGGGAGAGCACCAGCTCAGTGTCCCCCTGGGGATCCTCCACAGCACACACCAAGGCCTCACCAAGGCCCAGAAGGGACTTACTTTGCTCTGAGGGTGCTCAGGTCATTGCTTTGGCTAACCAAGGTTTTGCATTTGTCAAGAATGTTGTTGGTGACTGGGGTGCCAGAGTGCATGGCCTCAAAGTGCTGGCAGAGCCTGTTCAGCTCTGAACAGATGTCCAGGAACATGAGCAGGATCCGCCGGTCTGTGGAGTTGTTACAGTAGTGTTCCATGTAGCTCTGCACCTGTAAAGGCCAGTCTGATGTGAGCTGAGGATGTGCTGGCCCCCACTGGAACAGCTACCTGGGTTCACTAGGAGAAACCAGTAACACTTAGGCACTCTGACATACAGACCACAACATACAGCTAACATCACTAGTGTCCCAGGCACCATGCAAAATGCTGTCTCTTCTCTAAACCCTACACACTGGGTAGGTCTTCTTAAAATTCTTATTTTATAGATTAACACACTGAATACTGGAGATTAAGAGGTGAAATCACCCGCTGGGGCACCAGTGGAAGTGGCTTAGCTGAATGTGTCTCCCAGCTTGTGAATGAATGAGGCTGGGAACAGGATGATCCATATGAGAAAAATGTTCCTACCACATCCCATATTCAAATAACAACTCTAGGAGTGGTAGGAGCTAAAATGCCAAAAATAAGACTTGAATGTATTTGAAGGCGCTAAGAATATTGATCCTTCGATCTACTTTCAACTTTTCCTTGCTGGCAGGGGGCTGGGGCCTCCCTGGGTGGGAGTCTTTCTCCAGTAACCTGATACCACCCAGTGGCTGCATCTGAGGCCAGGCCAGGGCAGGAGGCCTGAGCTCCTGTGGAGAGGAAATGGGTTGGGTCTAGGTCCCATTAACTTATCACTCATTCCATACACAACTCTCACCATGATCTGATGATGGGAAGGGTATCACTGCCTCCCCAAGTACCTGGAACTTTCTCAGGCTACAGAGCTTCCCTGTTGCTAAGGGATGTTTTCCTGAATGATCTGAAGTGGTTCCTCCCCAGCTTTGTCAGGGGAGAGACTCCTGTCCACAACTTCATGGACACCACTGCATGTGGTAGCCACAACAGAGCTGTCACTGGGCTGCCTGGGTGTGTGCCTGGCTCTGGGAGGGCAAGTGGGGCTGAGAGCCAGCACTAGAGATGGGGCATCAGAACCCAGGACAGGGTTTACAGGAGCCTCTGATGTGTCTAGGCGGGAAGGCCACTCCCACATGTCACGAAGCTCAGAGGCAGATGCCAAGGCAGTCGGGACTCCAGCTAGTCTTGGAGACTGAAAACCTGTCCAGCACCCTTAGAAAAAGCTCCAGGGGGATGACCTGCTGCTTGTGCATCAGCCAGTGCAGGGGCATGTCATCAGCTGGTGGGCTCAGAGTCAAAAGCTAGTGCGTCTGGCAAAGGTTGTGTGCTATTCCTTTTTTTCAAGATAAAAAAATTGGGGAAGTGGGAAATAGGTTTTACAAAAACCAGGGAAACAATGTTTTCTGTCAGCAAGGGCTGCCTGTTCTCTGTGGCTGCTTCTCCTGAGCTGTTCTGAGCCCGGTACCCATCCCCACCATCTTCACAAGCAGCTGGGCTTCAGCAAGCTTTCGTCCTCACAGTGGCCTCTTTTAGAGTCCAGGCCTGGCCTATGGGTGGGGTCCTAGCTGCACTGCGGCTCAGGCCCCTAACGTCATGGATGGCCTCCAAATCCTGCAGAGCAAACTTGGACAACAGCTAACCCTCAAGGAAGATTTTTGCAAAAGTGACTAGCAGTTTCTCAGTACCCTGCAATATGTGGTGACAAGGACCGTATCCATCTCGATCACCAGTAAAGCTCCACTGCTCAGCCCCCAGTGCTTACTGAGGGCCAAACTTGGGCCGGCAGTTTCCCATGATGGTTCCACTGAATATGCATAATATATGAGAAAACTGAGGCTTAGTGAGGTAAGTAACCTCACTGGCCCAAGGTCACAGAGGTAGCAGGTGGACTTTGACCTTGGCTGGATGAGTCTGGTAGGAGAGGAATGGGGGGAACTTATTCTATCAGTTAGGGTGTGAGTCCTAATCTAATTCAGGCACAAATGTGCTTCCCTTTCCTGGGCTCTTTCAGGTGTGGGGACTGGGCTGGGGAGGTGCCACCTGTTCGATGCTGGAGATGGGCCGGATCTTGTCATGTGCGTTCTCCCTGCAGTGCTCCAGAGCTGCGATGAAGGTGAACTGCTGCTGTTGGAACAGCTTGTACTTCTGCTCAATGCCACGGAGGGTCTCTTTGGCCTCATTCATGGTTGTCCTCTGTGCTCACTTACAGGATAGGAGAGATCTACAGGGAGGAAGAGGGCCATGAGGCCCCAGGAGCCAGCCCCAGAGGGAGGGAGGGAGGGAAAGATTCCCAATCTGCTCAGCCTATCCCCACAGTCCTGGGGCACAGGGACTGTTTGTTTTATCCCTGCTTTACAGAGAAGGGAACCAGGGTCCTAGGAGACCACACAACTCACTCAGGATCTCCCAGGTTACCCATGACCATGCTAAACCTGACCCTTGTCCATGGACAGTGTCCCATGCAATGTGACTTCCTTCTCAGGACAGCTTCTCTCTTCCTTGGCTTCTGCAATTATGAGTGTCTACACACACACACACACACACACACACACACACATACACACACACACAGCCTCCAGGGCCTCCCTGTGGTGCCAACACAACCCGGGAATCAAGGGGTATGCCCACAGGAGGAAAAACCAGCAGAACACCAGTTAAGACCAAATGACTAAGACACCAGCCATTGTGCAGGTGGGAGAGTGGGCTAGCTGGGAAGGGTCCGTGCTGGGTTGTTCAGTGTAAGTTCCAAGTCCCCCTGCTCTGCTCTTGGGCAGGGGCCCTGGCCTTAGTCCACGTCATGTGCAGGCCAGGCCCTGATTAGGAACATTAACTGTACCCATGGTGCCACAGGCTGGCCCCGGTGGGACGTAGGTGGCCCAAGAGCTTCTAGAATCCCCTGTGAGCAGAAAGGGCAGAGGGTTCTGTACTCTCTGACTCCTCAATTTTTCTGAGCATGTGAAAAATGTTGCAGATTTATGGAATGTTAGAGCTGGAAAGGTCAGCAGGCCAACTCCCCTTCACTTCCAGGAGGCCCAGAGACACCCCAGGCTCTACACTACCTGATTAACCAACATCCTTACCCCTGCCACATCTGGCTGTGCTTCATGAGTGGGGATCAGAGGAGTTGGCTCCAAGGTAGGGACAAGGTGTCCCCAGTGGAAGGGGCAGGAACACAGCAAGGATGGGCAGGTCTCAGGTGGTAGAGTGAAGACAGGATGGATGTGGGAAGAATTCTTCCTTCCTGTCCCCCTCGGCACCCTGAGCAATGAGGAGAGCTTGAGTTGGGAGCACATCTCTGCTGCAAGAGGAGATGACAGCACAGACGGACCAGAAGATGTCTCCACAGATCATGGGCACGGTGAACCAGAGGATTTGAGAGGGGTAGCCCTTCAGTGGGATGAGCCAGCTGAGGGTCCTGAGAGTTGTGCCCTATAACCCTGAACAGACAGGTTCAGGAGAGTGCCAGCCAACAGCAGGACCGCCACTCCCCTGGCGGCTGGTGTGGGCCTGTCCAGGCCTAGGCGGCCTCCTTCCCCTCAAGCTCCCCATACTCAGCACAGTGTCTGACCTGGGGAAGGAAGGGCAGGGAGGCTGGGGCCCACTGCTGACTGAACACCTGCCATATCTTTGGCCCCCTTCCCAAGGGGCAGAGATGGCATACCTGGGCACACTGGGTTTCTGTGTGCTTCCCGTGCAGTTGGGTTCACCACAACTAGGACTAGGGTGAGAGAGGAGTCAACTGCCTCCTGCGAAACTTGAGGGGGAACCAAAAAAAATCAGTAATCAAGAGAAAAATATTTTTTAAAAAGTGAATATAAGGGCTGTGGCTGGGGCTGGGGCTGAGTGGTAGAGCACTGTCTGGCATGTGTGAGTCACTGGGTTTGATCCCCAGCACCACATATAAATAAATAACAAGGTATAACAAATACAACAACCAAAAAAATTTTTAAAAAGTGAATACAAAACAAAAAAAATTAAAAATGAACACAAAATTCTACAAAGAACAAAATGACAGAATTTTAAGGAAAAACAGGATTGATAGTGCCGCGTCACACTAGAGCCTGTGGCAAAAGGAAAATTCAGTTAATAGTATCTGACTTTTACTTCAATTTTTGATATTCTAAATGGATTTTAACATTACTTTTGATTTTTAGAAAATACTGTTAAAAACGTTGATCATTGAGATTTTTTGGTGCCACCTTAAGTTTTATTTTTTTTAAGTTGTTGATGGACCTTTATTTTATTTATTTACATGTGGCTCTGAGAACCAAACCCAGTGCCTCACACATGCTGGGCAAGTGCTCTGCTATTGAGCCACAGCCCAGCCGCCCCTTAAGTGCTGTGCCATGGCAAGTGCTTACTTGCCCCACCCTAATCCAGTCTGGAGTTTGCAAGTGACTCAGAGGGAAGACCTAGAAAAGTCACAGTGATGCAGAAATGGGTTTTCAGGGGAGAGAGTGCACCCAGTCAGGCTGGCCTCTGCCCACAGTGCTGTGGTCAGAGTGGTTAAAACGGCCCTGGCTCCACCCCTGTGGCTGACCTCAGGCAAGCTACCCCTCCGTGTCCTAACATGCCACAGGGAGAGAGCAGCATTAGCTGTCCAGTCTTGGGATGAACACCAGATGAGGTGACAGGTATAAGGTGTAGACCCTGGGCCTGCAATAAGATAATACCATCATTGCAGCCACTAGAACTATTGGGATCAAAACTCTGCATGCGATGGCAGGGGATTGCCACAACTGTGTGCACCTGGAAGGAAGCAGGGGCTGCTGAGGTAGGAGAGGTGGAGAGGTGGGACTGTGGGCTGGGTTGAGGGGTGGAGAATGCAGGAAGACTGAGCAGTTGCAGAAGAGGGCAGCAGACAGGCCCTGTCCTGGGGTCAGGCTGGGTGTTCAGAAGAACCACTGGAGGCTTCTAAGCCAAGGGGGTAAAAACATGGCAGGCATTTGCTCACTAGGTCTTCACTTTGCCAGATGCTGTCCAGGTACAGAGATCTATGACACTGGCCAAAGTGGACAGGCCCCCTGCCCTGGAAGAAGCTACCTGCTAAAGAGTGGGAGATCAATCAGGGCATAGGTGATGACATGAAACTGCTTGGTGGGCATGTGGGAGAATCAGGTCGTACAGTCTCTGCAGGAGGGACTGTGGGTGGATGTGGTGCAGGGCAAAGGACAGGTATGCTCCAGCCCTAGATCCTGGCTCACCCTGTCCTCATGAGAACAGTTGGTCAGGGCTCTAAGTAAATAAGCCCTGGGCATGCTTTACCTTGAGTTATCCCCTCAGCCTAGAAATGAGAGGCCATGTTATTTCACAAGCTGAAACGGAGCAACTGGAAATGGGCAAGTCTGGACTCCTCCTGAAGCCTGCCTTTCTAGTCTGGGCTTTTGGCTCCCTCCCTGCTGTTCCTTAGAGACAAACTTGCTACAAATCAGACTGGCTGGGGGTGGGGACAGGTCAGATTGCCAGACCCCTTCTAGGGTTCAACCACTAGCTAGACCCTGGGCCTCACGCCCACTCCCACTAGACTTCCCCTATTACCCACCTCAAAGCAATAGGGACTAGGATTTAGGGGGCTGAGTCCAGTTCCCTGCCATCCTCTTGGGGATTCCTGAGACTGCCAAGTTCTCCAAGGATACAGCAATACCTTGACTGGTGGCCCCAAGAGCCCCTGAGAGCAAAACTGACTTGGTTCTTGATCCTAGCAACTTGTGACATGCACACCAGGAATGTCAACGAGAGAAGCTGTAATAAGCTATCCAAAGTGATCATCCCTTGAACAAGAGCTCTGCAGCCAAATTAGTGTAGATGAAAGGTACAGGGTGCAGGCACTTCTGGATCTAGGGAAGAAGGGAGGAAAAAAATGATTACCTGATAGGTTTTAGGCTTTAATTGATTTGTATTTTCCCAGGCTGCTAAAGAAGATTAAATCATGGTATGAAAAACGCCTAGGGCTTAAAATAAATGAGGAGAAAGGTACATCATTTCAGAAATGTCCAAGAAGCAAACTGAACTTCTCTGCCACAAATTGCAGGCTTGGTTGTTGTGTTCTTTGTTCGGGAGAGATAGCTTCCTTTTCTTCCCCAGCTGTCTTTGGGTTTGACAAGCCCACCAAGATGTGTGCACTTTGAGAAAGCAGTTTTGGGGGAAAAAAGGCAGCACCGCTGGTTTTACTTTGGAGGATGTCTGTGGGCTGGAGTCAGGATGCCTACTTCCAGTTCCGAATCTCCCTCTGCTTTGACCAGTGACCCTGGGAAAGATTTTCCCCCTTTCTGAGCCTCAGTTTATGCATCTGTAAAACGAGGGACTCGTCAGTCTGATCCTCCAATTTCTTACCTGTAAAATGGGAACGACAGCGCCTATTTCACATGGCTGTCGCAAAGATACTACTACTACTAGCCACAGCGGCCTCCGTGCTTGGCGTGCTCACTGACTGCAAGTCTCAGTCCGGAGGCTTCACTAACCCCCTCCGGCACCAGGGAGGGAAGGGAGGCCCAGAGCAGGCAGCTGGCCAGCCGGAGCCCCCGGCCCGCCGCGCCGCGTCCCGCCCGTCCCCTTGGCCCCTTTACCCTTGCTTGTGCTGGACCGGCACAGAGCGCAGGCTGGCGTGACTCCGTGGGCGTCTGGGCCCCGGAGGGCGGGGAGGCCCTGCTTAGGACTCGGGAGGCGGGAG